TCAGAGATGTTATATTATTAACAGTTATTATTTATATTTGGAACTTATTTCTAAATAACGGGGTTTCAACGTTCATGTACGAATTAAAGGATGTTAGAAAAATCTGCATCATCATAGTCAGTGAACCAGGTTAATGATTTAGCGTGCCGTATTGACAAGCCCATTTCCTAGGACACAGTCTATAGCACAAACCCTGTTAGTGACCTATGTTTATTTAATAGTTCAACGTCCCTGGCACAATAACAATAGGCCTACTGGGGACGGCATCAACGTTAGTGTACGCGCCGCTACATGAATCGTTAGCTTAGGATCCACGTGCTCAAATATTGACTGTACTTAGGCCTAACCGTCGTCGAGAAAATACTCTAACAGAACAAACGAGCATATTTATCTATATAATTTTATGTTGGTAAGTAATCCCAGTGGTATAGACCCATTAGGTCATGTCACCGGTTGGAATTTAGTACGTGAACGTCTTTATCATTGATATAACCTGACATAACCTTGTAGGACAACTTCCGGGTCGGCCAAAGCACGTTCCACATGTGTGCCAGCCAGGCGAGACGGAGTAAACGAGCACATATCACGTCCTCACACCAATGCAGACGACAGCGCTGGCTGGAATACCGCATTAACGCAGATAATCGGAGGTTACATCAATATGGCAGGAAAGGTTCTACAAAATTCTCGAGTTGTCATTTTAGAAGGATTAAAATCTAGGTCAAGAAACTTTTCTACTTCGCTCAGTTTTCAGAAGAACTACAAACTTGTTGTCGTTGGTGGCGGGGCCGGGGGCTGTGCAGTCGCTGCCAAGTTCGTCAGAAAACTCGGAGCAGGAAATGTGGCAGTCATCGAGCCCAGTCAGGTAAACTGAACGTTGTCATTGATTTATTCCAGATTTGTGTATGTATGAAAAATATTGACACTGAACGTAATATCAGTTTATCGGTCAAGGCACGGACTTAGATAATCAAGGTAGTGGCCTCGACATTTGCTCTCCAGTCGTACTAGCTTATATAAAGGCTTGCTATCATTGTCTCAAGATATGACAAACATAATATGTATACATTAAAGATATATATGATATAAAAGACTTAAATCATATTTAGACCGTGTAGATCAGTTCTGTCACCCTGCGTCCGTGACGTGGTCCGTGGTCCGTCCGCCGGCCGTCCGTAAACAATTCTTGTTATCGGTATTTCCAAAGAAGTACCGGAGGGATCTTTCTCAAATTTTATATGCAGGTTCCCCTTGGTCCTAAGCTGTGCAGGGTAACTTTTGAGACTGATCGGATAAACAACATGGCCGACAGGCAGCCATCTTGGATTTTGATAGTGAAAGTTTGTTATCGCTATTTCTCGGGAAGTACGGGAGGGATCTTTCTCAAATTTTAAATGTAGGTTCCCCTTGATCCGTCGTTGTGTATGTTATATTTTGAGACTGATCATAAAAACAAAATGGGTTAAAAGAAGAACTAAACAGATCTTTCTCATATTGCAATGATCGATTCTATTTATTTCACACTGTACTAGTAAATATGTGAAATGACAAACTCACTTTGAAAGTTAGCTTTCATACACATCAGTATTAAGTTTAGATCAAAAGTTACCTCAAGGTGCATTTACTGTTAACATGACTCGATCAAACAGATCAGAGGAAAGAAGAGAAAAGATCGAACTGACAAAGAACTAATGGAGATGGTACAAAGGTGGGCGCCAAGATCCCTTTGGGATCTCTTCTTAATTTTAATTTTCAATCCATGCAGTTTTAGAATAGATATTGTTTCGACCATATATTTCAAACTAAATTACATAACCTTTTCTGTGGAAACTTCACATATATATGTATCGTGAACTGTCAGAACAGAGTGTGTGTTGTTTAGCACCTCTAGGTGTGTGGCCAAAAAGGTCATGGTCATGGGGTGGGTCAAAGATCAGATAATTGTAATACTTGGTCTGGACTATACCTTCTTTTAATCAAAACTACTGAACTCTTTTCTTAAGAAATGTTTATAAAAGTGTACCCTGAACAGTGTTGTTCAGTACTTCCATGGCTAGTGTGAACTCGAACGGTCAAGGTCATGGAAAGGGGTTGAATGTCGAATCATTGGAATGCTTTTATTGATCCTAACTTCTGGGTGCTGATAAGTGCCTATCAATCATTGTCTGACCATGTTGTCTAGCAAATCCAAGTTGATATAGAGGGGTCATTGTTGGAGGTCAAAGATCCAAACAACAAATATTTTAACCAGAGAAAGTGAAAATATAACGGCCAGGCCAGGGTTCGAACCCGGGACCTTCCAAACTCTAGAAGGACGCTCTACTAATTAAGCTATCCGGTCGCCGACAACAGACCCAGCCCACTTCCGCTACATTCCTCCCTTTTTAGGTCACCTGAGACATNGATTTGACAGTGGTGTGGGCTGACTGGTGATCATACAGAAGTTTGACATTGGTGTGGGCTGACTGGTGATCATACAAAGATTTGACAGTGGTGAGGGCTGACTGATGATCATACAGAGGTTTGACAGTGGTGTGGGCTGACTGATGATCATACATAGATTTGACAGTGGTGTGGGCTGACTGATGATCATACAGAGATTTGACAGTGGTGTGGGCTGACTGGTGATCATACAGAAGTTTGACATTGGTGTGGGCTGACTGGTGATCATACAAAGATTTGACAGTGGTGAGGGCTGACTGATGATCATACAGAGGTTTGACAGTGGTGTGGGCTGACTGATGATCATACATAGATTTGACAGTGGTGTGGGCTGACTGATGATCATACAGAGATTTGACAGTGGTGTGGGCTGACTGGTGATCATACAGAAGTTTGACATTGGTGTGGGCTGACTGGTGATCATACAAAGATTTGACAGTGGTGAGGGCTGACTGATGATCATACAGAGGTTTGACAGTGGTGTGGGCTGACTGGTGATCATACATAGGTTTGACATTGGTTTGGGCTGCCTGATGATCATACAGATGTTTGACAGTGTGTGGGCTGACTGATGATCATACATATATTTGAGAGTGGTGTGGGCTGACTGGTGATCATACATAGGTTTGACATTGGTTTGGGCTGACTGATGATCATACAGAGGTTTGACAGTGTGTGGGCTGACTGATGATCATACATATATTTGACAGTGGTGTGGGCTGACTGGTGATCATACAGAGATTTGACAGTGTGTGGGCTGACTGATGATCATACATAGATTTGACAGTGGTTTGACAGTGGTGTGGGCTGACTGATGATCATACAGAGGTTTGACAGTGCTGACTGATGATCATACAGAGATTTGACAGTGGTGTGGGCTGACTGGTGATCATGCAGAGATTTGACAGTGGTGTGGGCTGATTGATGATCATACAGAGGTTTGACAGTGGTGTGGGCTGACTGATGATCATACAAAGATGTTACAGTGGTGTGGGCTGACTGATGATCATACAGAGATTTGACAGTGGTGTGGTCTTACCATAGACAAGGAACTATGTGGCTTCAAGTTAGTCCATTATGTAACAAAACCTAGATTTATGTGTGGTTATGACACGTTTGACAAATATAAATGTTTACTGGTGCCCTAGCTACTGTGCAGTTAAATAAAGTTTCAGTACTTAAAAACAGTATTTATCACAAACCAATGTCATGTTAAGTTTGATAACCTCAGTACTTAATCTGTTTTAATTCTGTGATGCAAACTAAAGCATAGTTGTATGAATCTCACTACCTAACTACTGGTCCTGATATACACGTACACCCCTTTCTTTTCAGAGACAAAATACATTTCATGTTATCAGATCAAAAAATCTATAAACGTGTACGTTGCTGAGTCATACATACTGGTGGTTATATAATAACCTGTATACAGTCACAGGCCAGTCATACATACGGGTAGTTATATAATAACCTGTATACAGTCACAGGCCATTCATACATACTGGTGGTTATATAATAACCTGTTTACAGTCACAGGCCAGTCATACATACTGGTGCTTATATAATAACCTGTATACAGTCACAGGCCATTCATACATACTGGTGGTTATATAATAACCTGGATACAGTCACAGGCCAGTCATACATACTGGTGGTTATATAATGACCTGTATACAGTCACAGGCCAGTCATACATACTCGTGGTTATATAATAACCTGTATACAGTCACAGGCCATTCATACATACTGGTGGTTATATAATAACCTGTTTACAGTCACAGGCCAGTCATACATACTGGTGGTAATATAATAACCTGTATACAGTCACAGGCCAGGCATACATACTGGTGGTTATATAATAACCTGTTTACAGTCACAGGCCAGTCATACATACTGGTGTTTATATAATAACCTGTATACAGTCACAGGCCACTCATACATACTGGTGGTTATATAATAACCTGGATACAGTCACAGGCCAGTCATACATACTGGTGGTAATATAATAACCTGTACACAGTCACAGGCCAGTCATTAATACTTGTGGTTATATAATAACCTATATACAGTCACAGGCCAGTCATACATACTGGTGGTAATATAATAACCTGTATACAGTCACAGGCCAGTCATACATACTGGTGGTAATATAATAACCTGTATACAGTCACAGGCCAGTCATTAATACTTGTGGTTATATAATAACCTGTATACAGTCACAGGCCAGTCATACATACTCGTGGTTATATAATAACCTGTATACAGTCACAGGCCAGGCATACATACTGGTGGTTATATAATAACCTGTATACAGTCACTGGCCAGTCATACATACTGGTGGTTATATAATGACCTGTATACAGTCACAGGTCAGTCATTCATACTGGTGGTTATATAATAACCTGTATACAGTCACAGGCCAGTCGTACATACTCGTGGTTATATAATAACCTGTATACAGTCACATGCCAGTCATACATACTGGTGGTTATATAATAACCTGTATACAGTCACAGGCCAGTCATTTAAGTCGATTAAGAAGGGTTAAAATCTGTCTGAGAATTGCAAAGTGTGATCAAGTTTACAGATACATGTTTGATAATGTTATTTAACATTAGGGCCCTGAACCAGGGTTGTCAGACCATTCCTCTGTCTAATTGTCTATCCACACTTTCGTTTTCAGATTTATTTTTAATTCCAAAAGTCAATATTTTTTTGAAATTTCATGTTTGCTACAAGTTACCTCCCCTTATCCAACCATACCGATAATTTCATGAGAAACAATACGCATATATATTCTTTATTTTGAACGGCATTCGGCTGTAATTTATGTCGCTGATTTGACGTAAATTTATGAGAAATATGTATGGTTCAGATATAATACTTAAGTCCTTAAAAAAATTCCTTGGTACGGGATGACTGAAATATTGGTATGGATAAACTTAATCTTGATACGGAACAACTGAAATCTTGGTACGGATAAACTTAATCTTGGTACGGGTTGACTGTTACAGATTGCAGTTATGGAAAGACTGGATCCCTGTGCAATGTTGTAAGGGTTAACCCTTTCACCACTGTAGACCATAATGGACTCATCCAGGTCAAAGTATGGAACAGTTTACTAAAGTTACATAGGGTTGAAAGGGTTAAACAAACTCCTAAGGTCAAGGTCATTGTTACTGAAAATAGAATGGGGAATATACTTTCAAATCTAACCCTTCAAATCGACTTACCCTATTTTCTTAGCCACGTTACCTGAAACATAAACTTCTTTTTTTTTGCCTGATCTTCACTACTTCGATTTGTTTGACAGACCCATTACTACCAGCCGATGTTCACGCTGGTGGGCGGAGGAATCAAGACCCTGTCCGATACAGCTCGACCGATGAAGTCTGTCCTACCAGCCAAATGTGATTGGATTGAATCAAAAGCTGTTCAATTCGATCCGGTCAATCAGAAGGTCACAACAGCCAGCGGGGAAGAGGTATTCTTCATCAGTCTTAAACTGTCTAGGTCTCTGAGAGTGGACATGGAAATTTGGTTAAGTCTGATCTTATATATATCAGAAATAAGTGAAATAAACGTTTACCGTACCGACACATGGTCTGTCTATCAAGTGTATTTTCACCTCATAAAAATGACAGGGCTTAATTTGACTGAATGACAAATTCCTTGATCAAGGCCCCATAAAAGTCTTAAAAGAAAGTTGTTTTGATTTTTTTTATAATTATTCAATCATTTAGTATGACATGTTAATGTAATTAAATTTATATATAACTTGTGTCAACACTTGGGGAATTGTTAATGACTACATCAGATTTAAGTACCCTACTGTCAGAAGGTTTTCTGTAAAGCTCCTGTGATAAGAATATTAATGCCTCGTCTATCAATACATCAATGCCTTTTCACATTATTTGTCTCACTTTCAGGTCGGGTATGATTACCTGGTGGTTGCTATGGGACTACAGCTGAACTTCAACAAGGTAAGTGATAGATAAAATATCCACAAAGTGAAGGTCAATCTTAATTCAATATACTGTAAATATTGTACATTTCATCATACATTGTATCTTGACCATATGTAATATGAGCTTTAGCTCAATATGTTATCAAGAATAAATAATTATTCTTATCATACTCCCCGCAACGAAGTTAGGGGGTATACTGGATTCACTGGCTATCTGTCCGTCTGTCTGTCAAGCCGTCCGTCGTTTGTTCGTCTGTCCGTCTGTCCGTCTGTCTGTCTGTAGACAAAATATTGCACCTCCTAATCCTCCTAGGTTTATGCATGGATTTAGATGAAACTTTACACATGTTAAACCTCAAATGAACTTGTGTCTCCCAGAACGCCATTATGTTCCTTCAATATTTACTAGAGTTATGGCCCTTGACTTCCGTAGACGGTATATTACATTACTGAAATGGCTAAATATCTCGGTAAAATGGTTGGTATTATGTATACACATAAACCTTGGAATATTGTAGGGATTAATGAAAGCTACTCCACTGACAAACTTCCTGGGTCTTAGGGTCAAAGGTCACGAATGAATTATGTTACTGAAACGGCTAAATATCTCAGAAACATTAGGTGTTTTGTATACACATATACATTAGAGTATCGTAGCCAATTATGCAGGCTATATTGTGACAATCTTCCAAGGTCACAAGGTCACAGATGCATTATGTTACTGAAATTGCTAATTATCGCAAAAATGGTAAGTATTTTGTATACACATACCTTAGAGTAAATGTAGCATGGATGCAAACTACATTGTGACAAAATTACTAGGTTATTGAGTCAAAGGTCACAGTAGTGGTGTTTGTCTTTTCCATCGGTCTGTCGGTACAACATCCGAGGTTAGACTTTTCATGACCCTTTATCTTTTAGCTCCTACAGGGGCAACAAGCAGCCAGAATGCGGGGTATTAGTTAGCCCATAGGTGACAGTTCTAGTATTATAAGAGGCTGTGTAGAAAAGAACTACTGTACTGGCTAGCTAGCTTGTCCAGCGATGAATGTAGAAAAGAACTACTGTACTGGCTAGCTAGCTTGTCCAGCGATGAATGTAGAAAAGAACTACTGTACTGGCTAGCTAGCTTGTCCAGCGATGAATGTAGAAAAGAACTACTGTACTGGCTAGCTAGCTTGTCCAGCGATGAATGTAGAAAAGAACTACTGTACTGGCTAGCTAGCTTGTCCAGCGATGAATGTAGAAAAGAACTACTGTACTGGCTAGCTAGCTTGTCCAGCGATGAATGTAGAAAAGAACTACTGTACTGGCTAGCTAGCTTGTCCAGCGATGAATGTAGAAAAGAACTACTGTACTGGCTAGCTAGCTTGTCCAGCGATGAATGTAGAAAAGAACTACTGTACTGGCTAGCTAGCTTGTCCAGCGATGAATGTAGAAAAGAACTACTGTACTGGCTAGCTAGCTTGTCCAGCGATGAATGTAGAAAAGAACTACTGTACTGGCTAGCTAGCTTGTCCAGCGATGAATGTAGAAAAGAACTACTGTACTGGCTAGCTAGCTTGTCCAGCGATGAATGTAGAAAAGAACTACTGTACTGGCTAGCTAGCTTGTCCAGCGATGAATGTAGAAAAGAACTACTGTACTGGCTAGCTAGCTTGTCCAGCGATGAATGTAGAAAAGAACTACTGTACTGGCTAGCTAGCTTGTCCAGCGATGAATGTAGAAAAGAACTACTGTACTGGCTAGCTAGCTTGTCCAGCGATGAATGTAGAAAAGAACTACTGTACTGGCTAGCTAGCTTGTCCAGCGATGAATGTAGAAAAGAACTACTGTACTGGCTAGCTAGCTTGTCCAGCGATGAATGTAGAAAAGAACTACTGTACTGGCTAGCTAGCTTGTCCAGCGATGAATGTAGAAAAGAACTACTGTACTGGCTAGCTAGCTTGTCCAGCGATGAATGTAGAAAAGAACTACTGTACTGGCTAGCTAGCTTGTCCAGCGATGAATGTAGAAAAGAACTACTGTACTGGCTAGCTAGCTTGTCCAGCGATGAATGTAGAAAAGAACTACTGTACTGGCTAGCTAGCTTGTCCAGCGATGAATGTAGAAAAGAACTACTGTACTGGCTAGCTAGCTTGTCCAGCGATGAATGTAGAAAAGAACTACTGTACTGGCTAGCTAGCTTGTCCAGCGATGAATGTAGAAAAGAACTACTGTACTGGCTAGCTAGCTTGTCCAGCGATGAATGTAGAAAAGAACTACTGTACTGGCTAGCTAGCTTGTCCAGCGATGAATGTAGAAAAGAACTACTGTACTGGCTAGCTAGCTTGTCCAGCGATGAATGTAGAAAAGAACTACTGTACTGGCTAGCTAGCTTGTCCAGCGATGAAGTATAACTCTAGGACTGTATAATGACACAACCTGTATTATACTATATGGTAGTCTATAATGTTAAAAGGTATCGTAGGAAATAAGGATATTGTTTTGATCGGGTTGTTAAGAGGTGTCCTTTGCTGGATGAATCCTATCTATATGTATTGGAACTAGACTGGGTCGTTCCTTGACGACCAGGTAGCTCAATTAGTAGAACGTGCGTCTAGAGTTTGGAGGGACCCGGGTTCGAACCCTGGTCTGGCCGTGCATTTTCTTCTCCTATTACAGAGGTGCCTGTGACCAACACTTGTTTCAAACATTTGGTGTGTGCTTGGCAAGGGAATACCCAAACCTTTATTGTAAATAGTGATGTATTCGGGGGAAAGACTTAGAAAAAGGAGAAAGGAATGTAACAGAAACGGCCTGGCGACCAGGTAGCTCAATTGGTTCGGAAGGTCCCAGGTTTGAACCCCTGATCTGGCTGTGCATTTTTCTACTCCTGTTGTGTACCTATGTAAGTGATGATTCTGGTAACCAGCCACAAGAAGCTCTGTTGCACCAAAAATATTTACACCTCATAACAGTCCACACTAACCTCAGATTATCTCTCAAAATTGAAACAATCATCGAAAAAGTCATGTCTTTTCAACTTGTACAAATACAGTGTTTTGCTGCCTTGCTAACAGATCAAGGGACTTCCGGAGGCATTTGACCTTGACCCTCAGGTCGTGTCAAACTACTGGACAAAGACAGTGGTCAACACTTACCCAGCCATACAGAGATTCAAGGGAGGTAATGCCATATTCACATTTCCCAACACACCCATCAAATGTGCCGGCGCTCCCCAGAAGATTATGTACCTTGCTGAGGAACTCTTTAGAAAGGTTAGATAAATAACTGGTTGTATCACCGTCCAAAATTAACCTTTGATAAACATTTGTATTGAATAAGAAACTTTTTTAGCTTTATACCTGTCTCACCTGGTAAATTGAGTACCAAAAAGTTCTAGCTGTAGTATAAACTGAAACATCCTCGACGTCCAGATGTTACGCTCACTCACGCTCTCTGCACCCCTGGAATATGTCATAAAAACAAAACTGAAGGCTCAGTGTGTGCCACGTTGTGGATGAGACAGAAAGACTAGTTTGATCCTTTGATGTATATCAAAAGAATCTCGCGGTCACGTAATGGTAAAATTGACTGTCTGAAGTCGAATGTCGCTCCTCTGTAATCATCAAAGAACAGGTACATCGTATCAGCATAACGATTGGTCAGGTAACTTTACCAGAGACCAATCAAATAGCTATCCATGTGCCTTCAATTTTGCTATGACATATTCAAGGGGTGTAGAGAGCGAAAGTGAGTGTAACCCCTTGAGTATCAAGGATGAAACTGAAATAAACATGTAAGTTAATTAATCAATGTGAGTTTATATTTGATAATAAAATGAATGTAAAGAAATCTTCTGAACATTGAACTTTACACAATCTCACAATTTTCTGCCATTTTCCTTCATAATTAAGAGGAATATATGATTGATGTTAATATTCAGTATTATAATATTGGTGACTAAGTATATATATATATATTCAGATACATTTTAATATGTATTATATGGTTATATAAGTATTTTTTGTGTAGTTAAGTTTTGAGTAGTTTTATATTTTCACAGCAACTTTGCTTATCGACCAAATCTCGGGAGAGTTGACAGGGAATTCATTGTACTGACTGTTTGTTTTATGTTTCAGAACAACACAAGAAACGATTCTGAAGTTCTATTCAACACCGCCCTGGGTGTAATATTTGGTGTGAAGAAATACGCAGAAAGTTTACAGAAGGTCATAGATTCCAGGTGAGTACATCCTACCAAACTAGATCACTTCACTGAAATCATCTCAATGAACGTTAGTCATGATGGATACCAAGTGTCTAAAGCTTGAATGTTCACCATTTAGATTTGACATTTGTACCACTGAATATCAAACGGAGTGTTGAAATAACAGAGAAATGTAGCGAAAGAAAATTTCATTGTTTTAGAAATATCAAAGTGAACTACAAGAGGAACCTGGTGGAGGTTCGAGCGTCGGAGCGTGAGGCTGTGTTCGAGAACCTCGACAAGCCGGGGGAAATGGAGGTGTTTAAGGTGGGTAGCTTGATAACTATGGTGGTCAATCTCAACGAAGTGAAAAATATAGTTCTTGGAAGTGAAAATTAGAAACTTACATTGATATTAACAGTAAATTATTCCCTGCAAGACATAACCCAACTGTTCAATGTGAAGTCCTCTATATTATAATACTGTTTTCAGTATAACACGATATATAAATTGAGTTGACATATCTGAATGTATACTGATTGTTTGCTGATTTCAGTATGACACGATATATAAATTGAGTTGACATACCTGAATTTATACTGATTGTTTGCTGGTTTAAGTATAAAACGATATGTTTACTGATTGTTTGCTGGTTTAAGTATAAAACGATATGTTTACTGATTGTTTGCTGGTTAAGTATGACATGATATATAAATTGAGATGACAAATCTGAATTTATACTGATTGTTTGCTGGTTTCAGTATAACCCGATATATAAATTGAGTTGTCATATCTGAATGTATACTGATTGTTTGCCGATTTCAGTATGACACGATACATAAATTAAGTTGACATATACCTGAATGTATACTGATTGTTTGCTGGTTTCAGTATAACATGATATGTATACTGATTGTTTGCTGGTTTCAGTATGACATGATACATAAATTGAGTTGACATA